TCGTGTGTAACCGCGACAGATACAATCTGCTTTGGTATTTCTCGAGGGCTAAGACCGTAAACAGTTTGAAATTCCCAGCTCGATCATGCTATTTTTTGGGACAAATTTCCACCCGTTTGTTTAGTCTGACGCTCGTTGGTGATGAGAAATAAAAAGGATAACATTGAGAGACGTAAAGTTCATCTTGCCTTCATCGGTGGCCAAGTATTTATTTAAAAATAGCTCGTGAATTTGAGAATGTGGCCGAGCTTGCCACCTACTTACGTTAGCAAAAACCCAAAACAGAAAATTTAATGAATTTACCGCGTGTGTCAGGTAAATGCATCTTAGCGAGGAAACTCACCCCAAAATGTTTTATCCACTTTAGTACAAGACAAACAATAATCCCAAGCGTCTCTGTTACATAAATTTAAATTTCTATATATTTGGCGAAAAAAAATATGGGCTTACATAATTTGTTTGCTCGATAATTTTTATTGAAAATAAAAGGTTTTATGAAAATTAAAAAAAGATTCATGTTATTTCACCAAAAAATTATGAAAATTTATTGTGACACAACACATTTTAGGATCGTTTTTCTCAAAACGAAGGAACCGGGATGGAAAGACATTTGTTTAGTTTTTTTAATTGCGATTTTGCGGAGAGAAAATTTGCATCTGCCTTTGCATACAATTTTATAGAACAATGTTATTGTCTTCGGCGAGAGTGTGAAAGTTGCAATTTATTTCTTTTTCTTAATTACATAATCAATGAATTGTTCCGATTTTGTTTTCATTGTTTTTATCGACAATTCTGTTGAGTGTAGGTAATGGTATAATATGATCTTCCGGTTATGCGAGGAAATACGAACTGCGCCAGCTTCGAAAAATACAGAGTCACTGAACAGATCAAATCTGTGTTGAATGTAATTAACCCAGTTTCTCCTTTAATGTGTTTGTGCTTCGTTGTGTTTTATTCACAAGATTCTCTTCATTACGAAAACCCGGCACGAACAGCTGGTATTGGAAACCATAAATGGACGCAGAAGTGGCCGCAGTGAGCATGCTCAGTGGCGCGAGGCTTAACCGTTCGTGCGAGCGATCGAGGGAAAATGGCGGGTAGAGAGTTTTGACATGACATCGAGATCTGCGACTTTGTCAGTTCTCTTGCGTAGCAATAACTGGCGAGAATGGAATACGAGAAGATGGACGATGATAGGTAAGAAGGCTTAATTTCTGCCGTGTGACGAACATGTCGGGATCACTGTTAAGTTCAAGGAGAATAATGTCGCAAAATTACGAATATACTTCTTATTAACACCGATCGAAACTCGGAACCGCATCCTGGCTTAGTTTTTGAAACACTTTTAGGCGCTGACACGGGCTGTGAAATATCTTTAAGATCGGAAAGAAGCACTGCCAGAGACGCTCTTATCTTCAGCTTTGGGGAGAACTATTATTATATTTTCAGCATTTTTTTTTCATTTAGAGCGAGCAAAATGCTCATGTTTACCATTACATCTCAGATCACCTGTTTTAACGCATTTGTTTGGATTCAAATGGTTTTCTCTGGATGACGTCACATACGGCTATGCATCGGAGGAAATCTTGCGAAGTTGAAAAAAAAACTCTGAACACAAATATATACAAGACTTTGGCTAATTTCGTCATAAACGATTGGCCTGCAACAATAATATGCAAATATTGCCGCGCGACAAGAAAGCAGAATAAATCAAAACTAAATATTGATCAGATTGGTACTTCCTGCATTGATTGGAGAAGGAAAACCCGCTATTCTAAAGCCCATCGTTGCTTCTAGACTTTACTCGAACATTTTAGCAGGCGAATTGTTACATACGAATACAGCAGTGCTTTTTATTTAGCATTACATAAGGCGTTGAATTAGAATTGTTATTGTGGCCTAGCTGGAATATTTCATTTTCTTTATGTCTCGCTGTCGCCAAAGTAATTACTGAGCTCGCAAACAGCAAATCGCGTTTTCTATCTTCAAGTTAACTGAGTCCATTCCTGAAACAATTTTGAACATACTTTTTTAGCATTGTGAAAACATAACGAGTTTTGAATAGAATTACATGATTAATCAACTGGAAAGAAATACAAGATTACGTTTTTGAGCCTCTGATCAAACGTCGAAAATGTATGCAGCCTGTTCGACCGAAAGTGATTTATGACTCGGATCAGCTGACATGATCTTCCAATTTCTGCTGATTGTGCACGCCCGATTTTCACATGAACCCAACCAAATAGTGACAACAAACTATAATAAACAACAATGTCACGTTATGTCTGAAAATTCCTTTTCCGCGGTCTAAGGTCAAATCTGATCAAGTTACGTTTTATTTTTTCGAAGGAAACCGGCTGACTTTGATTCCCTTTAATCAAAGAGGGATTCACAGATCGTTGCACAGCATTTTAAAGCTTCAAATGCAAGCAGAAAATTTTGCTTGCTTTCTCTAGTTGTACGTCCGCAAACATTGATCAGTTGCAGCGCCAAATAATTAAGGTATCGAAATTTCTCCATGCAACTGTGAAACCATAGAACTTGCTGGCAATGGGCTGTTCGGCGGATAGAACCATGTGCAATCATAATAGCAAAAAAAATTTTTCCCTCACGGACACCGAGAAGTATATCGGATCATTAAGGATAGAACAAAGTTAATACCAGGAGAGTGGGGAAACCTCCAAAGATAGATTCAGCTGCAATGAGTGACGTTCGAGAGGCGCAGTGAAACAGTACCGTAAGATTTTGCAAAGACATTTGGTTTGCCACTGAATCTGAAAAAAACCATGACCACGGCTCAAGGGTAGGGAGGGTCAGTTATTGATGGCAGCTCTGGACGTGAGAAAGAGGAGAGGAGTCGGTAAGGGTGTGAAAGAGATTGGGCCTTAGTAAAACCAAACCTCTAAGCGTAACGGAAATATGTCTAGTTTGTCATCGCACAAGCTGGTTTTCCTAAAGCTGAATGAACCCTGTATAGTATAAGCGTTCACTAAAGACCTAAGACTTGTATCAGAGGTTTGTTTATGTGGTCCATACCCGTTGAATGGAACCGAAGTGCAAATGATATTCGTTGCCTATCGAACTCATTCACGTTTAAGCCGTCGCATTTTACCCCGGACGAATCTTTGTTACCTTGTATTAAATATTAAAAAGAGTGGCTTTATCTGTTTGAATACTCATAGTTCAGCTATGAACAACAAAGCTTTTTTCAAACCGCAGATCAAAATAGGAGCAATGTGTTTTAGCGGCTCGTGTGATCAGCTAGCCTGAAATGGACACATGAAATTTTGAATTTTTTTTCACTTCTTTCGTTTACCTAATCTGGCATAGTATACAATTCACAAGCGCTACGCCTAAGTTCGGCCTGGTTTCACGTTGAAACTGAACATCGCATAAGCAATTGCAAAGACCCATTAGATCTGCAAATGTTACAGCTAAAGAAAAGATGGATGTAAATTCAAACCTTCAGTGATCCGCAAAGTCCAATGGCCTCCTGAAAGTAAATAGGTCCTCCACCAAATCAGCGCAGGTGATTTAGTTTGCCATGAACAAGCGAGAAGTCTCTGGTAACCCATACAATTTTTTTTTAAATTATCCAAACTTTGGGTCAAAAGTCGAAGGAAGGCAGATAAGTAATCGCAAATTCTTGATATAAAATCTTCATTGTTGTCGGTCCATTACGCTGTCAATTAACCACTTAAATCCCTTTTCAACCTCTTAGACGATTTTTTATCACGATTAAATAATTGATTAGCATAGTTTTCTACGTTCCAGTCTGCGCGCGCTGATGTCTATTACAACAATCATTCATGACTTCTTGTCGCGTTTTCCGATGCCTAAATGTAGGATACCCAGATTTATTAAAACTGGAAACTGAGGTTCTCTTTTCTACTTGTAAACAGAATACCACTTAACCTATAATAAATCAGTAATAGCAGGCTCTAGAACACTTTATCGACCTGAGGATCTAAACCAGCACTTAAGGGCTCACCAATAATATGTCAAGAGCACCGTGAAGAGTGTTTTCAGCTTAGAATACTAAGGGATAAAGTAAGTGCATTTGCAGTAAATGATAGATAACTGTTCTGACGAATTTGAAGATTCAATAAAAAAAAAAAAAGACTTCAAAGAGAGATTACTGCTCCAATAAAGTGGCATCCTTTTCTAAAATTTTAATGCCAAGGGTAACAATCATAATTTTTCCAGCGATAAATGACAAAGGGAGAAAGTCTCTTTGAGAGTATGACTCATGAATGTTGATCTAAGCTTCCCTTTATTGGCTTTTGAGGTTCATAAAAAGAGATTACGTCGGACTCTTTCACCCATTTGAGCGACTTATTACCGATGCAAATGAACTTAAATACTACTGCATTGTTATGAATGACGCCACTTGTAGATAAACGTTATTTTTCACCGGATAATATGATAAAAATGCAATTACATGGTTACTGAATCAAAATATCGAGATCTAGGCGCCCAGTAAATTTTTCTCAGTTTGGGGAACCCAACACCCATGACGAAGGTTTCTTTGTTGATTTGATTTCTTGGTTTTTTTTTTCTTTTCTTTTTCTTTTAGGAGGACAAGGGTTTAAGATACAATGTAGGATTCATTAAAGTTTACTTTTTTTCTCTCGGTAGTAGTGATGAATAATTGATCTCTGAAATTTCCCAGAGAGCTAACTTTTCATGGGTCTTTAAGCTCTTGAATGTACACCGGAATAGATTTTAACAAGAGAGGCGGTGGTGTCATGATGGCGTTAGTATATCAAAAGTATCATTTTTTCACCGCCCATAGATTCATATAGGGCCTTGCCCAAGACGTATTTGTACAATCAATTGGTATAGAATCTTTTTGGTGATAAGGAAGGCTAATTCATTCATCATGAAATCTTTATCCTTCGTTCCATGTTATTATTGATGCCCTGAGCTACTCGAATTAAATTGGTCACGTGTCCATGGTGTTTCGGGAATGACCCGTGTGTGACGTCACGATTCGCGGGAGCGAGTGCTTGGTTGAAATGTAATGGTGTACGGTGTAGCATCTTCTTAACTACCAAATTCGCTCGGTTTCGCCAGTATAATGGCACCGCATTCTGGTGTCAATGGCGAAAGTAAAGGAGAAGGACAGGACCATGCTCTTGCGTAAGCATTTTGTGTTTAAATTGTAGTTTGTGTGGCTTTTTAAAGAACCTGAATATGTCAACAGCGTACCGAAAAATACCGCGTGTAAATCTTTGTCAGGATTCAACGCAGTTTCATCGAAAGACTCCAATTTACGTTGATACTTTCAAGGTTTCCTTGTTTCGTTTCAGTCTTGTGTTCTTTGGTTAGTCGGTCATTGTTGGCACGTTCAGGATCGGTTTGCGGTTGTTTAATACAAATACGTTTTTACAATTTCTACTTCGAACCTTTGATCCGAAAGGAAATGGAAGTTCATCAGTTGATTGTTTAGCTATTTGTCACACGTAAACGATGATTGTTATTATTTAGTATGGCTTCGTCGTTGTTGTAAGATTGCAGTAGCTTCATGTGTAACCGGTGGGATAAGTGTTTTGTGAGTTTGTACATAACGGCTCGTCTGATTTCAATATCTCCTAGGCGTGACTACAAATAATAATTGCATTGATTTTTGTACCCGCAACTGTCGAAGTTTATCACAAATTTCCATGTTTTTCGATCGAAGCAAATGAAATAGGCAAAATGTACTCGATTCATGTTAAGTCAGGCTTCTTTTTCTTAACTGTGTAAGTTAGGTTTCGCACACATTTTACCTTCGCTTGCTGGGGAATCGAATTGAGTGGATGCTCTGTTTCTGAAAGCGCAGTTTGCAGAATGGTGTTAACATCTTGTCGCTTACAAAATTAGTCATGTGATCTGCTGAATTACTTGTTAATTGTTCCAAGAAAATTGTGATTTTTAAGAAACTGACAGACAGATTGTTACACTTTCGGGGAAAGAATTCCCATCAGTTCAGAAGTTCCAACGCATGAACCGTGAAAATATGTAAATAGCTGTTTCGAGTCGGGTTTCTTGATGTAAACAAAAATGATTTGATAAATAAACTAATATCAAGTTTTCGTTATTTTAATTAAGATCCTAGTTTGAAAAACTTTCCACTGAATTTGAGGTGTTATTGTAATGATGAACATCACAGCTTAAAATAATTCTTAAGTACTTGCCCTTTTGCTAACTTTTTAAAAGTTGAACTCAGGGGTGATGGAAAAAACACATTAAGACAGGAATAACCATGAATAGGCAACATAACAACCAACAAAGGCTATTGCAACAACATCCTTTTAAAATATCTGCTGGTATCTTTAGTCAAATAGTAGTTTTACCATGATGATCCTGAACAGGGAACTTAAATTTCATTTTCACAAGTTAAATAGATCTGAGGCAATGGGATGTAGTAAGGTAATGTTTCAGCAACAATGTAATCAAACTTGGTCAGGTTTTTTTACAGGGGGGAAGTAGAAATCAATTATGTTATGCTGAAAGAGTAAGTGGATTCTATTTGAACCTTAATGTTTTAGAAAATTGCTGCTTAACTTGAATCCTGTCACGTAATCTTTCAGTTTTTAGCAGTTGTATTATGTTCATGATCTTACTGTTGATTTCCTGAATATTAGAGAGTCATTTTGCATTAGTTTAAACTGTCAACCTCTGTATGTTTAAATAAGAAGAATTGTATTTGCATAAATTTTATTTGGGAAAGACAGAGAAATTGTGTATGTTAATTTTATTAGCAGCCAAAATATGGCCAAAAGAGCATGATAGATATGAAGCTTCACTGCAGGGCCACCAGTTTATTATGGGCAATGATGTGGTTTCTTTAGTCTTGTGATGCAGTCAATTTTTGATGCAGATCTCTGCAATGATGTCATCTAGTTATTTTTAATTTTGAAGAATGATAACTATTTGTATTATATGTTAATCAGTTTTTTATACTTATACATGTCCAATTGATGTGTTGCGTAAGCAGGAAGCTTTTAAGTCATGCATGACTTTATTTGTACCATGTATTCTTTTACATTATCCTGAGTATTTCTCTATGAATTTTGGTGATCCAAATATTTAATTAAGGTACAACATTTTTGGAGTTAGCAAACTCCAAGACAAATGATGTTTTGTCTGTGTTTTTACCTTATCTTTTTTTTTTTTTGCCTTTTGGAGGGTTTTCTCTGTCTCATAAATATCTTGGCTAAATGCCATAAGTGAAACAATTCATACAATCAACACGATTTAAACCGCCGTTAAATTTTTTCTTGCTGCAATTTGAGAGTCTGATTTGGACATGTACCTGAGCATTTTCTCTGGAAGTAGTTGACAAGATTCAGGGTTAAGAGAAATATGTTTTTTCTTTTTGTCTTGTCATGCGCGTGGGACAAAGAAAAAATTCTGGGTCCCCATGAGGAATCAAACCTCAGACCTTCAGATTCTGTGCTCTGATGCTCATTCAAGGGTTTGTTTACCAAATTATTTGGAAAGAATTCAGGCGTAGCAAAATCCTTAGTCTTGTTACCATTTTGTTATTTCAGAAAAGACGGGGCTTCACTCTATGATGTTCTTGGAGTTGACAAAAGTGCAACACAAGAGGAAATTAAGAAAGCGTATAGGAAGGTGAGACTTGTAAACTTGTCATGTGATTGTAATGTGGGCAAATGGTTCAAATGGAAATTAAAGTCCATACATGATTTTTTCTTTTCCTTCAAACATTCAGCCCTTATTGTCCTAACATCTCAGTATCACTTCTCTTTTGTGAAATGCATTTCTTAGAAATTGTTCTTTGAGAATTTGGTCCTCAGTCAGAAGTTTTCTATATTTTTGTCATCTTTGTGGTTGACAACATTTTTATATTATAAGGATAAATAACTTATTGGCTGCTTGTGAAAGATTCAAGACCTGCACAACTGTAAATTTTTGAACTTTGAGCATTTAGCAAACTGCTCAAAATTATTTGAAATTTTGGTGTTTACCCTGAAACTAGATGATTGTGTGAAATTTTATGTTGGGGGTCACATTGCTTTGAGCTCTTTTAACAGAGAACTTTTCTGACTTATGTGTTGTTCAGAAACACTTTTTTTAGTCTTCAGATCAGATGTGAACTCTTTTTATTGATATGTATGCACTCACATCACGGTTTCTTTCAGAACACACTGTTAAAACTGTGACTCTGTTGCTGATGCATCATGCATGGATAATTTGTGATTAATTTTAGGCATAAAATTACTCAGAACTATTTGGTCCTGTAATTGTTGGTTGTAGCCTTCTGTTCTGAGATTTACATTTGTAAGCATTGATATGCCACCCTACTAATTCTAAGTATTATGCATTAGACTTACTATAAACCCTCTGATTGCTTGAGAGCATACAGTCAATATACAATAATGTGTGAAGTTGAGATGATAACCCAATGTCTTCAGCAGATATTGGGTTATCATGTGGAGTTCAAACTATTCCTAGTTTGCGAGCCCCTTGTTTATGTGGTGTTCTCAAACTTTTGCAAAGCTAGAGAGAAGTGTCTTCTTTTGCAGATTGTTTAGAAAAATGTGTAATAAAAAAATTGCTGTATTGAATTAAGTTTTTACATGATATCATTAATTATCAAATCTTGTGACTGTGTAACTCAGACCTCTGCATTGATAATTCATGATATCATGCTCAACCTCATCCAGTAATTGCTCTTTGTATGTCATTCTGTGTGTATCACATTAATGGCCAGCAGATTTGTTAATTAGTTTTCTGCCTTTTTGTCTTTTAAAGACATCATTCATTATCTTAGAATTATGTGGTTGAGTTGTAGGCTCACTGTCTACTAGTCTGACTCCATCACTATTAGGGTATAGCAAGCTTGTATTTTGTGCATTCTCCCATAAATACACACTGTAAACAGTTACCTACATTGCATATGAGATGGCAGATAGCCAACAAGGCTGGTATCACCTATCAAATTTGCATGTGTAATATAAAGGGATTTTTTCATGGAAAGTGTGCACAAACAAATTTTATTCAAGAGTTGTGATGCATCAAAGAACTAACAAATGAGGGCAGCTAACAAGTGAGTTTTTTATTCATTGCAACATGTGGATAAAAATTGTTAAGCATTTTCCATAGCATGATGTTTTTATTTCATACACAATGATATTTTTTTTCTTACTGACTAAGCCACTTCAAAGATTAGAAGCCCTTTAAGTGCAAGAGCAAATATTTTTAAGAACACTGCCAAATCTGCTCTGTAACATGATATTCAGTCTGTTTACAACTATATATTTAAAATTTTGTTATTTGTTTTCTCGCTAATTTGCTGATGGCGAGACTTAACTTAAATGTCTCTTAAAAGAGAAAAAGGTAATTCATATTTCAGCAAATCTTAGCACTTCCTCTTTTATTTTGCTGTTACAGAAAATCAAGTGCTTGTTGCCCTCCTTTTGAAAAACTATCATTCATGTGTTTGATTAAGGGAATGATGTACTTTTCACAGTCATAATTGGTTTGGTATTTTTGTACAAATCTTGCGCATGTTTTTTTTTCCATGTGTAAATCTCAATATAAATGAAGTAAATGTGTTTTCAACAACTTTCAAGAAAATATCCAAATAATTTGCAGAATATGTGTTTTTTTTTTTTTTTTTTTTCATGGAAAAGTCTGTGGTTATGAGGTCAGGTGTGTTGGCCTGTCAAACAATCAAAATAGTGGAATTTATGATATACATGTACCATCTTAATGGCTATCTTTATTAATGTAATATATAAGTGTAATCACAATTATAGTGTTACAACAATATCAGATGTTAATCAAAAAACTGTTTTTGTTTTATTAGATGGCACTGAAGCACCATCCTGATAAAAATCCTAATAATCCTGAAGCTACAGAAAAAGTAAGTCAATCTTTGCTTGGGAGAAAAAGGAAATGTTCATGCTGACATGGGTCTTGGAAAACTCTGAAACTCTTAGAATTTGGCCTTCTTATTATTGACAGAAATTTTAGCTTAAGGGACTTTCTGAAGGGAGACACCACTGAAACAGATATGACCCCAAAATGCATTAGGAACCGTCAAGGATTTCATGTATGTCTCCATAACTTGTCCAAATTCCCACGAAAATGCATAGCAAGCAAGAACAACAACACATTTTTCTGACACAGTTGATGAAGCTGTGATGATAACAAAGGAAACAGTCCAAAAATCCACCAGGATGTTACAAATATTGGCTCTAAGCACACGTCACTAGTAAGAATGTTAACCCTCTGCACCCTAACATCAGTTTGCATTTTCTCTGTACTGTTCTCCATACATTTTCTAAGGTGCTGACAAGGAGAATTTGTTTAGCAACCAAGAGTTTCTTTAGTTGGTGATCATTTTCTTTATTCTCATGACATGAATGAGTGATTCAGGGGTGATATTGTAAGGAGAAATTATATGCTGGTCACTACGAGGGGTCAAAGGGTCAATTAATTGATGCAGGTTTTGGGGAGTTTTAATGATCCAGCATGTTTGAACAAATTATGCATATTCCGTGCATATTCTGTGCCTCACACTCAGTCAGAAGCCTTTTAATGTTGTGACATTGCCACAGTGATCCTTCATTAAAACAAACTTTAAAAATAATTCTTTTTTCTGACTTTATGCAAATGTTTGTTCTTTTTCAGTTTAAGGAAGTCAATCACGCACATAGTATATTAGCTGATCCCAGTAAAAGGGAAATTTATGACAAGTATGGCTCTATGGGTCTCTATATAGCTGAACAATTTGGAGAAGAGGTAAGATCAAATTTATTGATTTTGTTTTTTATTGAATTAAGCAATATTTGTGCAACTACGTGTTTTTGTTACAGAGATTTTTTTGAAATTTTCCCAATTGTTTGGGGTTTGAAAGACTATTTTAGAAATAACATCCCATCATGGAAAGCCGTGTTTACAAGTTTATTGAAAGCATTATCAAACCCCAAAAAACTCCCAGTAACATCACAAGACATCATTTCATTTAAAAGACCTTTTGTTCCACAACATTCACCTCTACATGATGCCAAGTGCTATGCCTCTCTCATTGTAAATTGGTGTGATCTGTATCATAATGAATAGAGATTTCCACAACATAGGCTTCTCAGTACATGAACAATATCTCTGATATAAACCTTTTACCCCGGTGACCTGTGAGCAAATTCTTCTCTCCCTAAAAAAACATGTTTCTTTAACAGTGTATTGAAGGATAAGCAGAATTGAGTAGTTATCACGTGACAGATTAAATGTCTTTTATTGAAGTTTAACGCCCTTTTCCCAACCCGTTCCCCGGTATGGGGCTATTTGAAAATGGTATTGGTGACATTTGGTGGAGGATACATGTAGTAAAATTTAAAAAATTATTTCAACATGCAAAGTGTCTTTTTCCCACTAAGGAAAAAACACTCCACGATGATAGTGTTCTTGTAAACCTTCCGGTACCACATTTAATATTTAAGTCCTCAGGGATATGAAAGAAAAGTTGAGATAGTCTTGATAGTTAATGTGCAAACGAACGAAGCAGTCGAACGAAGCAGTCTGTCCTTTGCCTGATATTTTCATGTTTTTGTTTTCATGTTTTTTTTCTTTACATTCAATTGCACGGAAGTATACCGCAATCCAGAAATACATGTATTCTTTCGTTACTGAAGCTTCGCCTGGCATGGTTGTATGGAATTACAAATAATTTTTTCTAGGGAATTATCGCTGAAAAGTTCTTTACAAGGAATAAAATAGTAAGGGTCGTATTTAGCTTGGTTTTCATGCCTACTGTCTTCTTGCCATATGAATTATTTTTTTCCAGTTTTCCTCCCTCTGTAAGTCCAGCCCGAAAAATTATTAATTTAACATGAGAGATTTTCATAAACTACTCGTAATCATTTTCAATTATTCATTCAAGAATCAGACCAATCAATGTTATAGTATTTGGTCTTCAAAGAGAAGGGGAAGAGTCTGTGTTCATTGTTTTCAAAGCTAAACATTTTGAAGGAAAGTTACACCTTGGTTACACTGAGAAAAGAGGTAAACTTGTTTTCACACTGAGAGAGGGTCCCATTCGTGCAATGTACAAGAATTAGTGTCAATTAGGTGATAATTGAAAGGAAAAGAGCTGATTTATTTTGAAGATGTCCTTTCCTAAAAGAAAAGAAAGCACTCCAGCTGATAATAAAAGTTCTTTGTTTTGGCGTTGGAATCGGCTTCAAGTGAATGCTATGGAAGATTCTGAATTGCGGAATGTGCAAACAGTTTACGATTCTCCCAAAGTAACAAGCCATTCTCGGTTGCTTTTTGGAGCGCAGAGCAGAGTTTTCGACGCCGAAAATTCCCTCAAGATGGAAAAAGATTCGAAGAAGAGACACTCGCAGAAAGATTTTACGGAGAATTCAACTTCAAATGGAAGCCGAGAAAAAGAAATTGAAAATGAAACTAAAGTTATCGCGACTGTAATGGACGCCGAGAAAGGAAGATCAAACCCATTCGAGTACTTTAAACAACATCGATTTGATAAAGAGCTGGACCTGAACGGATGGGTGCTGGGCCCGATAAGGGCATATGAAATTGCCACGGAGCTTCTATCTTCTTCGACTGTTGTGAGTTTGTTTCTCGCAAACAACCGCCTTGGAAACGAAGGGGGCAGGGCCATTGCAGAAGGATTGCTCGGGAACTTTTCTGTTAAGGAGCTGGATTTGTCCGGAAATATGCTCGGGCGAAACGCAGTCTCCAGTATTGGAGAGATGCTCAGAAAAAATCGAACTCTGGAAAAGTTGAATCTCTCGAGAAACGACCTAACAGATCAAGACATGGAAGTGTTTCTTGAATTCCTCTGCGGCGAAATTATCTTAAAAGAGCTGGACTTATCTCATAATATTCTATGCGATCAATTCGCTGAACGTATGTCGCGAGTCTTAAAGAGTCATTTTATTCTCGAAAAGCTTTCCCTCAACTCAAATCAGCTTGAAGTAACTGGCTTACAAGCCTTGATGCCCGGTCTTCGATGTACGCAATCGCTTCGGGCTTTGAACATTTCGTGGAATTACTTGTACGACGTTGGAGCTGAAATTCTTGGCGAAATAATCGCTGACAACGAAAGCCTAATTGAAATTTCAGCCTGTGGAAATCTATTCACAGCCAAAGCAGCCAGCTTCCTTGCCAAGGGGGTTGTTAATAACTCAAATTTGAAAATTCTTCGCATTGGTCAGAATTTGATCCGAAACTCGGGAGCGTATGCGTTTATCGATGTCTTATCTCAAAGCGGCTCGTCTTTAACCGCGCTTGAGGTTTTGGATATCGATGGTACCATTGTTGACCAAAAGTTTAAAGAAAGAGTCGAGACTAAGTTTTCTGAAAAGCTTGGTGCTTTAAAGGTAGTCAACGCTTCGGTTGTGGGTGAAATTTCGAACGAGCTAGAACAGTTTGTGGAAAAATCGCCTGAAGATCTTTCGATCTGATTCAGGTCCATTAGCTTCTTATTTTGAAAGAAATATGTCATGAAATATTGATTGACTGATAAGGAATAACTCTTTAAAATTCACAATTTTCATTTTTGCGACAAGGAAATTTTGAAATGTTAGATGTAGATTACCTTGCGTACAGAGTTTTACAGATTGATGTTCTCAATATTCAGAGGGGTGAAGCGTGTGTACAACTTCTGTAGAATGTCTCTTGAATAGATTCAGATCATTTCACACCTTTTTTTTTTTTACATTGCACATTAAACTAGCAGGCTACTTTTGATGTATCTAGTGCAATAGTAATGAGACATAGAGAAGATAAATGATAGAAATGAATAAACACATTCATTAGATTTCATTTTTGTCCTTCTAACCTCTCCAGCGAAAGAGTTGTGCGATATCGAAAGAAACTTAGAGCAATTTTCAATTGAGCGTTAAAGGAATCCGGTTTTCATCTTGTCTCATCAGAGTGAATCCAATTCACGCTATGATTGGCCCAGAAAACTCGTACTGGTCACTCAATCAATCAATCAAATGCAAATCTAAAACCAATAACGACTTGGCGGCCCGCGTTTTCCCGCGCTCTAGGGGGTTTGGTTTTTTTTTTTAATTTGAGCTCTTATTGGCTCCAAATGGTATTTTCCTCACTTCTATTTGGCTGTTGTGATTACCTGGGTTTTGCTTTTACGAAACTCAATCGAAAAGCGCAATATTTCCTCTAATGTCGCTATTACAGTAAAGGGAATATCGCCCAGTCATTTGCTGATTTCTAAATTGGTTTAATTTGCACCATTTGTTCTTAAGGCAACCTTTGGATCAGTTCCCACGAACAAAGCCTGACGAATCAGTCATTAACAACCTTAAATTGCTTTCCTTCTTCGTCCCACAACCTTCTACTGGGTTTGAGAAAGTCTTGAAAGGACGGTGACGACAACCTGATACAGCCTTAGCTAGTTCGTGCCTATTCTCTTTGACTTTTACAAGGCTTCAACCTTGAGATGATTCCTTTAGAATCTAGAGGGTCTCTTAATTACTTATTCAAGAGAGAAAAGAAGTCAGTCGGAATTATGCTGCTAACTTTCTTCTCGTTTTCATCCGCAGAATGTCAAATTGTACTTCAGGCTCAACAGTGGCTGGTGTAAAGTAAGTTCACTTTAACAACCGATGGTAAACAGGAAATCATGCAGGTTTTTGTTTCTATCCAGAAAATAAAGAAGCTTTCAAAGTTGATTTCATCGAATGCAAGTGCCTTTGAACGCTTTTTAGTCATGTGTAGGGTCGAAATGTGAATGCGTTTTTGTGGCGTAAAGCTTTGTGTCAGAGTACGAACAGTTTCAGTGTAATTAGTTGGTAGTTGTTTAGGTCATGTCAAAAAAGATTTTGAAGGATAATGAAGATCATTACATTTATAATGAATGGCCGTGGTAGAGCACTTATTTTATTTAATTTTTCTTTTTTTTCTGTTTTGGATATTTTCAGTAAGGCTACTGTTTGTTCTTGCTCTACAATGCCATGTCTTTTGAAATTCTGTTCTTTTTATCGAGCGCACATGATAATTTATCTTGTTGATGTGGTGACGAGTCGACCATATGACATCGCTAATCCTGCGCGCACGCGTTTATTTGAACAGGCGCTGTTCATGTTCTGCGGAATCATAACTTGCTGTTACTTCTGCTGTTGCTGCTTCTTCTGTTGTAATTTCTGTTGCGGAAAGTGCAAGCCAGTTCCAGACGAGCAGTGGGAGGATTTCGAATTTGACGACGTTAAAGATGAGGAGGATCCGATAACGAAGCAGCCCGGTAGTAACGGAAATGACACAAGCAGCGAGCAACCCCCCAAATCACCTGGTGTTGACAGCGCGGCCAGCAACAGTACAGCGAATTCCGCTATCCCCATGCCTTCGTCGTGAATGACGTAGCATTAGTGTTCAAAGGGAGTGGGGTGGGTAGAGTATATATTTTTTTTTGCTGGCGGCCATGTTGGATATTTGAAGGCTTGTACAATGAAGGCAACATGTTCTAGGTGACGAGAGGGTTAAAGATATAAAATATTTCTAGGTTCAGAAGGATAAATCGTAGCAAAGGATATGGATAGGCTTCTGAGATCTTAAGCTAACAGCTCTGAATTGAGATAGCTTAGGCGACTGGAAGGCGCTCTTCGGTTATTCAATATGGCTGCCAGCACGCGTCGTTTGCATGAATTGTTAGCTTAACTTTTTTCAGCTATGGGAAGAAAGGTCAATGTTGTGAAGGTTCTTTTTTTCAGTCCTGTTGAATCCGCGTTATGATAATGTAACATTAAACATATTGTGAAGGGTAGTTCAAGTCTTTTCTATTTTTACGTTGACAATACTTCTTGTGATTTTTTTTCCTGTCTAAATTGGTAATGACCTTATCTCTCTAGATAAATAATTAAATGAATTGTTTATGAAGTAATGACGGATGGAATGACCAAGTTTGGAAGTTTGGCTTGCAGGAAATCCAACTTTGCGTGTGGGGGTAGGGAGTGGCTGCTTAACCCGTTAACTCCCATGAGTGACCAAGACAGAATTTCTCCTTACAATATCAATACAATATTAACCAGATAAGTGATGAGATTAAAGAAAATTTTCCATTTGGGGATAATGAGTTGATCCAATTCCTAGAACTAGCATTACAAGAATTGTATGGCTGATAGTAAGGAGAATTACAAATTTGATATGGGAGTTAAAGGATTAAGACAAATCGTGTGACTGTGGTAACATCTTATGGTTGCTTTTCTCATATCGTAAGGGAATTCATATCTTCCCACTTATAGACGCGTGTTATATTCTTTCTTTTTTTGTTTTCCCATTTCATCTGGTTCTATGAATGGGTCCTAATCGGTATTACCTTTTGGTAGCCTCTTGTATGGATGCTGAAGTTCGTAAGGACGAAGCGATTTATAATTTTTCAGTTTGTAGTTTAGAAACCTTAACTATAGTTATGATGCATGTCGGTTGACCTTCGACATGACTGGTCAGCAAATTGTGAGGGAACTTGTTTGATAGCGGTTTTTTCCAAAATGTGTCGCTGGTAACTGTTAGTTATATCATTTTCATTAGAAGTTGAGTGGTTGTTCAGGCCATTTTCGTTGAATAATAGGTGATATTTACCTTTACTTAAACAAATAACTTTATTAAGTTGTATCAGATATGAAATTGATATTTTTTTCGGTTAAATAACAAAGGAGCATTAGACGGATACTGATACACGAAAGAATCTTTGGTTCTTGCAGTACACAGCTCACTTAAAGGTGGCTACTCATTTAAGCTTTGATTACGATACCTTGATTTTAATTTCCGAATCTAACAGCTCTTAGTCTCCTCTTTGTTTTTCTCTCTCCATTGAGACTTGTTTCGAACGAGATTTTTCACCACGGTATGATAGAAACCTGAGAAAAACACGGCGATATTAAAAACTCAAGAGCGTTACTTACCTGCCATATCTAGTGTAGGTTTTGTTACGCAACTTTTCCTCTTAGTCACAAAAAAAAGTGGAAGCCATTCTCTTTTTTTGGCTTTTTTTCTCTTAAATGTCTGCGTTTGTATTTTTTCTCACAGGGTTTAGTGTCACCGTGACTGGATATCTTTCGTTCTGCCTGTCAACCTTTAATTTTGAAATTTCCGTTTCAACGAGGCAAGTTCTCACAGAGGGTTTCTTCGACAGGCGAACATTATATATTCATATGTTTCAAGTTGTCAATTAAGAATTCCGTTTAGGTTGTATAATAAGTTATTTCAGTAATTGTAATGAAGAATTTCGCAAATAAAGGTGCGAAAATTTGGATGGTTTGACTCATAATTGCCCAGACATATTTCACGTGTACGAATTCTGCCTTAGATAGCAAAACTGATGTGACATCTGTAAGAGGCCTGATTGATCATTCATTTTCCCCTACTGGCGAGTTTACATTCCTTAGTCAGCCAGTCCTGAGAAGTCAGACTCAGAGAAGAGGTTCTAAGTAGTCTCGTCCGTTACTTTGATCAGACCCAGTTTTGCCTTTATTTTTAGACAAAGAAAGGTGGATCGGCAGTGTACGTAAACTAAATATACTCACGTTCTCTAAACTGCAACAGAGTTCAATAGACGAGCAAGACCTGCCCTTTCCCTCCTTGAGAGCAACAACTATTCGCAAAGGAAATTCTCGAACAGTTTCAAAGCCAGTGATATGGCACGAAGTGCACGCATTCTTAGAATGCGCTAGGAAGTAGGCCTCGCGCGCTCGTGCTCGAAGTAAAAGTCTTTCGTGACGACATGCAAGTGATCATTTGAAAATCATCATTCTGGTGGCTCTGACATTTTGTCTGCGGTTTGCAAATCGAGAGCAATTTATTGACAAAGTTGAAATGCGATTCGTGTTTATTTGGAGCGGGCTGTTGTGCCTCGTTTTTCTTGCTTCTTTCCCCGGCGTGGGCTCAGGTAAGAACCGTCGTCGTTTTTTCTTAGAGTTAATTTCTTAGAGAAAAAAACCAACTTTTAAGTTTGAGGTAGACAAAGAGCATGGACCTTTAGCGCCATAAACGCGATTTCCAAATGATTCCTGGCTTGGCTCTGTTTCAGGAGCTGAGAAAGATCATTGAATCCTATGCAAACCCGTACAAGGTTTATATGCTCTAAAAAAACTACAACTGCCTTGGGCCCAGAACAATTGAGTCAGTGTTAACTGAATCTAGGAGGCACCTGTCTTAGACCGAGATCGGTTGAGTCAGTGGTCAACTTGGGGCTGCACACCTTCATTCCCCTTCGCTATAGTTCCACTTTTACAATTATAACTGTTTCAGTTTATCAATAAAGCAATGAACTGAGGCTGGTAACATTAGTGGTTTTCACATTTCCCGAGTTTATTACTGTCACATTCTATCTTGTTCTCTTAAGGCGTAAACGGACATCCTAAAGAATTACGAGGACTCATCGTGAGGAGTGTTCAACCCTTCTGGGTGTCCTTAGTAAGTTCATGATTAATTCCCAAGGTTGACGGAATCCCTCTCTAGCCCAATAAGATGTCGTGAAGGATATTTCCTGCTGTTCAGGTTTTTGCGCGTAACATGTAGTTCTAGTTTGCCATAAGTGACCTCATGAAGGTGATAAACTTGAGCATGCGCATCCGATTAAGTTAATGCGTATGCTGAGTGTTCACTGATTTTTTTCACTGATAATGAGTGCTAAGCTCACGAAAAACTTCTCCCCGAATCGTCTCAAATCTACCACGCGGCGGAGAAATAAACGTCCTGCAGCACTATTAATGCTCGTAGCCTATATTTTAATAAGTTCTCAGTACAGTTGACTGGTGTGTCTATTCTGCTGTGTATGCAATCAGATATCCTTGACCTCAGATCAACAATGCCTTCCGCATGATGTGAAATCTTCTCCAGTTTGAAAAACTGCAATCCAGAAGTATTTCATGCTTCTTTTTAATCATTCAGAAAACTGCGTACTTATGGTTTATGGATCACACGAATGATGTACAGCATTTAATCGATTGGACTTTGAAATGCATTTTGGACGAGGAAGTCGATGGAAAACAAGGTTAGCTCAAGACAAAAGAACTTCAGAAGTTCAAAATTATTAAGTGTTCATGTACAGGTGTACGTTTTTCGTAGAGAAAGCTTGAATTTCACATGACTTTCTTCTTGAAAACTTCTGGTGTATTCTTTTTTCTATGAACTTGAGGCGATCAGACTTAATTCAAAATGTGATGATGATAATGGTAGTGATAATAATGATGATGATGATGATGATGATCATAATAATCACGATGACGATACCAGTGATAGTGTTGATGATGATGATACACGGGTAAGGGTTGAGCTGTCATGTAATTCCCTGGCAGGTTTCACACGAGAGGAACTGCGTCGGCAGCATTTAAACATGATTGGTAACATTTTGGTGATCATTTTGATGTCAGTTGGTAGTCTGCAAATGTTTCGAAGTGCTATCAAGAAAAGCTTCTACAAGTAAGTGCAGTCGATGAACGTAAGAGCCACTGGAGGTCTTGTACCATTCCATTCCTCATTGTCCCCAACCCTACTCCCATTTCGCTATGTCTGCTATAAGATCACTCTCGTTCCAAGGGTCCTCGCTAAGAGAGAGGACCCTGACAACGAGTTTGCTATGAAACGTCCACCGAACACACCACAAATGCAAATGGATTGTTCCTCAAAGGTAGAATCAGTGGTTTGGCATAATTCCTAAAGTGCAAGAAAGAGCACTTGTTACTATGTAAGGCACGTCTAATGTATCGAATTGTATACAACTGCTGGTGTCATACAGGGAGGTCGAAACGTGTTTTGCGAAATGAAAAACACTCCTCGTTTATTTTCTTATATTTTCTCCTTTTTAATGAAAAAATGTCAATACCTTTCTCTCATGATCTGAAGATTCACCAGAATTAAAACGCTGAGTTGTTAGTATTCTTGCAAAAATTCTTAGTTCCCTTATCAGTAAAGTGGCAGCTATCTAAACATCCATATCGGATAAGATAAATAGATACATGAAAAATAAATGAATAATGAAAAGTTAAAAAAATGACTTCGAACCATTTATCGTTAAATGGCCCCAAGTTGTAAAAAACACTTATTGTTCGTTTTCTTTTGTCCACGAGGTGGCATTTCAAAGAAATTTATTTTCCTCAGTGAAGAAAATGTGAAGTCAACAACGGTGAAATATATCCTTATCTCACTGGTTAAACCTTTTCTTATGTCTTATTTTACAAGGGAGCTAAAACTCCGCAAATTAAAAGGATCAAAGACTGATTTTGTAAGAACTTGGCAGAAGAATCCAAAGGAAGACTTGATTGCGGGAAGCCAAAGCAATGGTAGAAGAAGAACCCATGGGAAACGAAAATAACCTTAACTGGTTAATACGTGTGCTAATCATTTTGATTTTCATCTGTTTAATTTTCATATTTTTAAGAAGGAAGATATACATCCTTGTAATAATGTGTGAGTGTGAGTGTTGCAACATCTTGAAATAAACATTTTTATCTCTTAAAGCCTGGATTTGTTTATTATCATGGTTATGTGTTTTTAGCTTGTCACGCAATCATGCATGACAGATACCTCCGGGACACAACAATGTCAGCTACATGACAAAGTCTTTGTTCATGACAGCTCATCAGAATTTCAAGGAAACATCTTTCAAAACATCTGAACGATGTCCTCTGAAGTCGTGCCGATCAGAATGCTCCAATTTCAAGTGCTCTAACACCTCGATTCTTTTTCAAATGGATGACAGAGAAGGGGAAGTTTCCGAGCGTCCTCTTAAATCGTTACACAACAGAATCGTATCGCCAGTGCTATTCATAAATCACACAGGACGAAGAGTCAATTTGAAATGGTTCAATTACAGTGGTGAAGAACAGTTATTTGCCACCATTGAGAGTCGAACAAACAATCGCCTTAAAATGAACACATATGTGACACATCCTTGGATTGCAGTGGACGAAGAAACGAATGAAAGGCTGTTACTGAACTTCAAGGAAACATTTTTTCCCGACGAGCCTGTTATACGGGGAGTAGACTATGATACCCGAAGATTCTATGCTTCTAGAGCGGAAATAAACATAACAACACCAGGTTAGTTGTTGTTCGCAATTTTTAGCTTCCCTCGGACGTACCTGTTAATTGAAAATATTGTATGGAAGAGCAAGAGAGTAATAGACAGCAATCTTCTGGAGTAATGCATCTGTAGCTTGTTATCGTTACAAAGTCTAGACGAGATAATCGGGCTATTGATAGCTGTAGAGGGGTTGCGTTATGGAGTGCATGCCTTTGAGGATGATGTCGGTTTAAAAATTAAGAGATATACCGTACTGTTTTCCTATTGGTGGCTTTTGCGAGGGGCAATTGTTAAGTTCCTTTTTGCTCCAAACTGACAGATTTACTTGGAAACCTCCCCGTGCCCTTCCAGTCGTACAGTACACTGTACATGGATGGACTCTATCAAAGATAACAAGATCTTTTAACCCTTTAACTCTCACGAGTGACCAAGACAGAATTTCTCCTTACAGTACCAATACAGTATCAACCAGATAAATGATGAGAATAAATAAAAATATTAATTTGGGAAAAATTAGTTGATCCAATACTTAATTCTATGAACTAACATTATAAAAATTGCATGGTTGACAGTAAGGAGAATTACACATTTGAAGTAGGAGTTAAAGGGTTAAAACACTTTATTCTACCCAATTATGAATTGACTGGGAAAATTTTTATAATTGATGAAAACAGGAAAATGTTTCCACATTACATGCCTGGGAATTTTAGCTTGGCTCCTATGATTTAATTTGTGGGTATTACTCTTTTAAAAATTTATCAGGTAGTATGTGGTGAAGAACCATTTTTCATATGGATACACTTTTAAAAAATATAATTATTGTTGTCTTTAATAATTGAATGTTTTGATTACTTGGTAGTGTACAGTCTGGAGGAGTACTGCATGAGGTTCCTTAGGAAGATTGTTTTATCACAGAACATCAGGAAGTTACCCCTGCCACAGCCTATTCTCAATGAGATTTTGCAGAATGTTTCATGATCCACTTATAGACTACTTAATTTTTCCCATTATATCACGCACAAAAAAAAAATAAAAAAAACACTTTCTAAAACATGAAAATACAGCAAACAGGTGCAGTTTGGTAAAGGTTGTGTTTTGGATTGGAGAGTGCTAGACACTGGAATCATAACCATTTATTTATGATTAAAAATCCACTGATGTCTTACCTGCAAGGTATATGCTTACTCTTCTATGTGGTGGTTGGAAAAAATTTTTAACCAAGTGTAAAACTGTGAACAAATCACAGCATGTAAATCATATCACTATATGTAGAATTAATAAATGGGTTGACTTTCAAATAAGAATTGAATTTAATGTTTCTATGAGAAGCCACAATTTTGCAGGGATATTGTATTGGTTAACACAAATTGCTAACAAGTCACAAACAAAATTCTGTCATTTTCCAAGACTGCTGATGCTACTGCATTTGAGTAGCAATAGCATGGGACTTATTTCTTTGAAAATAGCTTGCACACACCTAGCAGGTCATGAATCAAATATAAGCAGATTCCTGTCTTAGAAAAAGTTTAGAACTCTTCTCTGTGGTAGAATAATTCTATTGGGTATGTGCTGTTGAACTTATAAGTTTATCCTTTTGATAAGAGCATTAAATCTTTCCCCCTTCCCCTCTCCTCTCTTCATACTGCTTCTTTCGTGTTGGGTCTGAATTTTTAAAATTAGATTAAAATGATTGTCAGTGTCACATGTAGACCTTACACTCCCACCCATGTAATTGTCTCCCTCCCCTCCCCTCCCTTAAGAAGACCCTGACCCAGGATATGATATGTATGCAATGCTTTTGTGTCCTCACCATTTCCCCCTCAATCTTGGAGGTTTTTTCACCAGAGGAGGATGCCATTATGCAAGTTAAAAAAATTGTTTACATTACCTGAAGGAAGTTGTGTTGGTCAGGGGTCACACTAATGAATTTTAGGGCTGATTCCCTTATTTTCAAAGGATGTTTTTGTTTTAGTATCAAATTATTTGATAATTTTTGAAGAATCAGAGGAGATAAATAAACTTTTGCTTGTAAAGTCAGCTAGGGTCTGTACCAGCCTGAGTAACTCAAGTTTTAAGGCTCCCTGGGTCTCAGTCCAGTTGTGATAAACTGATGACCTCTTGTGAGTGGTTTCAACTCGCCGCTTTTAGCAATGAGCTATATGTGCGGTAGAAAATTAATTTTGTTACCTTAAATGGCATTGTAGACATTTGAGACCCTCCCCCTCGTCACTTTGTTCCTCTCGTGACGAAATAACGAATATCCACCCACCAATCATGATTGCTTCATGACCACGTGATTTGGAACCACTGTATGATCTTGGAGCCAAGATGGTGGACCGATTAGGTATGTAAAGGAATTGTAACGTTTTTCGGTTATTTTTAGGACGGGGTTTCCTGAGAAAACCTCATCAGGGTTAAATACTTCCTTAACTTTCGATCTTTTTTGATGATGGGCATTTTCATTGTGTGAAATACTTTCGATTGTCTATATTTGAGTACGACTTTTGATGTGAATGGCGGCCTGACAGTTCTCAGCCATGCATGTCATGCTAGCTTAATTCTGCGTGTAAGTGTCAGTAAGCTTTCGGATGAGGTTGTTTCATGATATTGCCTTTCGCTCAGCAAATTAGTCGATCGTGGCAGAGAGGGAACGATGGCTTATTTTTATGAAGGAGGTGTACAGTGGGATTGGGAAAGGGTGAAACCACCATATTAGACGAAATTATTGACTTATTAAATATTGGAGTTTGGATATGTTTCATTACCTGAAGAGTCTAAGTAGCATTTCCTTCATTTAAATGATTTGTTTGCAGAAAGGTATCACAGTGTACCCATAAAATTTTATCGATCGCTTAAGGCTACCGATCGCTATTGAAACAACCGACCTGTGGTGTTTATGTCGTCTTAATTGTCTCTCCTTAATGCTTTTAAAATATTGTATGTGTGATAATTTCAGCCAATACAGAGGCCAACGAGAGAAGAATTACCAATGTGGAAAGTTGTTTTGGAGCATCTGGACAAGTAAGTATGCAGATCATGTCCTGATGTTGTTTTGGTCCTTGTGATTTGAATATGTATAGTAGACTGCTCTTTCTCATAACTTTGGTTTGACCTTAACGTGCATTAATAATAGGCATGCATTTGTAATCATGTTATGACTTGATTAAAATTTAGTAGGATGGATCTTGAAATTTGGAAATTAATACTGGTAATAGAACAGACAAGAGTTCAGTATGGCATTTTCCTATTTGATGTATGAATACCAGAACTGGATGACCACAAAGGAGAAGTCTTACTTATTGTTTACTATTAGTAAACTAGAATTACAGACCAAATTAGACACAATTTCTTGTTATGAGCAGTCAAAAGTAATACTCATCAGTCAATGGTATTCATAAATGGAAAACATACTTGTTGACTTTTTTTCCTAGATGAAATAAACCCACTAGTCCTAATAAAAATGTGCACACATGAAGTGTATTGTCTGTTTACGGAAGCACGACACAATAAATGTTTGAAAGGTGATGTTAATCAGTGAATGAAATTGGCATACTTAGAGAAAGAACTCCAAGTACTTCCAATAGGAGTCAAACCTACAAAAAACCTTCTGATTAATATTTAAGATGCTCTTCCACAGAGCTATGGGAGATTTGTGACAGGCTAGGCCATTTAACTCGGTCCATGGTGAAAAACTTCCTGCATACTACTAGAATAGGATTATCAATATGTGATGCTTCTGCATTATGATTATGTAAATGATGGTGGTAAATTTTAAGCTTTATGATTTAACCCTTTAACTCCCAAGATCTGATTGTTAATTCTCTCCTCTTGCTGTCACACAATTCATTGTAAATTAGTGATGTGAATTTGGTGTAAGATCAAGACAAAAACTTCTTCCTGATAAATATTTAGTATTCTCATTAACTGTTGTCTAGAAAATGTATAGATATCGCAGGGAGAAGTTACATGTTAATCACTTTTGGGATATAAAGGGTAAAGAGAAAGATGATGTTATTCTGTCAGTGAATGATACAAGGATACTCAGAGAAAAAGACGTGCACCCCAACATTTAATGTTTATTTCTAATTTTTTTTCTCCAATTTCTATTCTTTAGCCATTATTGGTTCCAGGAAGAGTACTGGTTGGTGAAGGTGTATTAACTAAACTGTGCCGCAAGAAGCCTAAACCACGTCAGTTTTTTCTGTTTAATGACATCCTTGTTTATGGAAATATTGTCATTAACAAGAAGAAGGTAATCAAGGTTTACATTGAATTTTTCAAAATGTAAAGAGCAAAGGGCAAGCTTTTTGTTTTTTGTCTCAAATAAAAGGTTGTGAAGGTTACATTACATTTCTAATGCAAGCTTGTCATTATTGCATTTTGTATTCTCCAAGCTAGAACTTTTTTTAAATTAGTTGGGCAATTATTATTTAAAAGGCTATTCAAGTATGAACTATTTGCTAAATTCACAAGACATTAACTCTTTAAACCCCGAGAGTGACTAGTATGGAATTTCTCCTTACAATATCACCCCTGAATCACATGTTAAGATCTTGAGAATAAAGGAAATGATCACCGACGAAAGAAGCTTTTGACTGGTAATCAATTCTCCAATTCTCCTTGTCAGCATCTTAGGGAAAGTATAAAGGGTAGTATGGAGAATATGGACACTGATGTTAGGGTGTAAAGGGTTAATAGTGATTTGAATTTCTTTTCAGTACAATAAACAGCATATAATCCCACTGGAAGATATCAAACTGCAATCCTTGGATGATGATGGAAGTGAGTGCTGTTATGTTGTAATCCATGTTCTGATCAGAAATTCAATCCTTTCGCTATTGTATTTTGCCTGGTGAATAAGTAGTTGAAATATTATTTGATATGATATCAGAATAAAACCCTGCAGCTGTTAAGTTCATCTATTTATAGCACATTTTTGCAGGTTGATATGTCTATGAGGGAAGCTAGTAATTTTAACTATGTCTATAATAGGGGGATGCCATCATACACACTTACCTTCCTTTTAAAAATGTTAATGACTGTCAAAACATTAATAAAAGTGGTCAGTCAAAACTAAGGAAGATATTATAATGAACTAGTTATAATTCAAAGTAAAAACAAGCAAAAGTTATAGTCTGAAGTGCTTGATTAGGAGGGGAGCACAAGTTTTTGTTAAAAATCATAACTCTGAGAAAATTCCTGAATTTGATTTGTTATCACCAGCCCCAATAGAGTACTAACTGGACAATGTAATTGGAAAATGCACATCATGCCTGTGTTACTGGAAAGCATGCATCATGTAGATGTGCTGTGGTCAATTTTTTTGTCTTGTCAACTGTTGTTTTTTTTTTATAAAAAAGTATAACCAATGGCTTGTTTGTGTCTCAAATTTAGTCATAGTTTTGATTAAATGGTAAGAGGACTTCATGTTGTCTTATTCTGTCTGTAAACAAGTCACACATCTGATTTTGTTAATCACTTGACTGTGTGGTTGGCCCTTTACCCCCCAAGAGTGACTGGCTACTAATTTCTCCTTACAATGTCACCTTTGAATCAAATGTAAAGTTCATGAGAATAAAAGAAATGATCACCAATTTAAGATTATTCAAAAACTTCTCCTGGTTGGAACTGATGGAAAGTATATAGAGAACAGTGGGGAGAATATGCATACTGATGTTACAGTGTGGGGTGTAAAGGGTGAAAGACCAAATTGGATTCCACTCAGTCCTATTGCCATTACTGATCAGACAGTACAATAAAACAAAACCATTGCAAACCTGGATTACTTTTTGATGCCCCACTGTTTATTACTCAGTGTGCTTGCCTTCTAGATTTAAAGAATGGTTGGCAAATCATTAGTGCAAAGAAGTCATTTGCAGTGTATGCTGCTACAAGGACTGAAAAAGCTGAATGGATGGCACACATCAACAAGTGCATTCAGGACTTGTTGGCAAAAAGTGAGAATGAGTGCTTTAGTTATTGAACAGTTTGTACAAATTTAATTGTGTCATCTGCTGATCCACATGAGAGTAGTTCTGAGATGGACTGTTGTTGCAGTAGTGACTAACATAGGCTGTCAAAATGTCAGTCACCACTAACAGCATTGCTTCCCAAGCGACTCTCATGCGGATGATAGAACCATGTGATTAAATGTTACCCCCAGGCTCAAACAAGTTACCATATTTTTTACATAGTCAACAAGAGTCTGGAATCAGCCTTTCCTTATGTGTAGACTGCTTAAAATGAAATACAATCATGTTACGCTTTCATGTAGAATCTTATTGTGTACAGACTTGCAACATGACGTACAGTAAATTTGTTTATAACTAAAGGCTAGTATATAATGATTATAATGGGACAAGGTAATCTCTTGAGTCTGGAATCAGCCTCACCTTCCGTGCAGACTGCATAAAATAATATACAATCATGTCACGTTTTTATGTAGAATCTTATTGTGTACAGACTTGCAACATTTACCCATAGTAAACTTGTTTTTAACCACAGGCTTGTATATAATAATAATGGAATGTGAGGGTTTCAGGAAACAATGGTCATGGATGAAACAATTGCCATGAATGAACCATATTTTAAGCTGACTGTTTAATGGTGTTTCTTAACCTTTTAACCTCTAAGAGTGATTAACATCTAACTTCCTCTTACTCTATCACCCTTGAATCAAACATTAAGGTTACGAGAATAAAGGAAATGATCACCAACTAAAAAAAGCTCCTGATTGTTAAATAAATTCTCCTTGTTAGCACTGTGAGAAATGTATGAAGAACAGTATGGAGAATATGCATACTGATGTTAGGGTGTAAAGGGTTAAAAAGGGGTGTTTTGTTACCAGAAACTCAGTCTCAACCTTTGTTTCTTATTCAAGTTCCTTTTTTTTGTTTAATTATCTCGTTCTAGCTGGAAAGAAGGGAACCACGGAACACGCTGCAGTCTGGGTTCCAGATAGTGAGGCATCCACTTGCATGCACTGTTTCAAGAGCAAGTTCACTGCATTAAATAGAAGGGTAAGTGTAGCATGACTGATTTGTACTTATTGACTGAATGAGAGGGCTGGACAGGAAAAGATTTGGCTTCAGGTCATATGCTCCCCACCGCATGTAGTTAGGTGCCTCCATTAATTGCAAGAGCGAAACATTTTATGGCAAGGCCTGACTTTTTTCAGTCCATAAGCATTTCATCACATTTTCACTTTTTTTATGCTAGTTTTTTCTTCCTAATACAATTTTTCCTCTCAAATTGCCCTGACCTGCTATTGCGAATTTTCTTACCTCTTTTTTTTTTTTGATTGCTTGACACAGCACCACTGTCGGAAGTGTGGTGGAGTTGTTTGTGGTAACTGTTCCACCAAGAAGTTCCTCCTCCCTGCTCAGTCTTCAAAACCACTGCGAGTGTGTGACAACTGCTATAATGTTTTATCAAGTGGCAAGACCCAGTCAGATCAAGAATCAAAGAAAAAAAGTAAGTTGAATGTGGTTTGTTTCAATCGTTTTTTTATGTAGTGGCAACTGAAAAGGAAAACAGTGGATGTTAAACTGCAGAGGGAATTTTTACCAGCCGATAAATGAGGAAAGCTTTATTTGGTGATCATGCATAATATCACCTGACCAGGCCATGTTTCAGCCAAAACAAAAAGTGTGAATCACAGGCATACAATTATGCATGATGTATATATAGGAGTATTTGTAATATTATCTGATAAACAATTTCATAATGTCATTTCTTCCATAATATGGGTTGAATTAACTTGAAACATTTCATATGTACAATTTGGGTTGTCTTTTCTTGTTGTGGGTTGTATATTACACTGTGATTCATTTTTTTTATGTTAGTCCTGAAAGTTATGTTGAAGAAGGGTCATTTGACTTTCTTTGTAACTTGCTTATTTCTGTCTGTCTCTCGGACTGTCTGTCTGTCTGCCTACCTGACTAACTGACTGACTGACAGTCTAAGATGTTTGCTGGAGAAGGACTGAATTAACCCTAAGCTCACTGACTGAGTTACTTACTGCTGTGGCTGTCTTTAGTCGATTTAAAGCAGTATAACATGCACAAAGAATGGTTGAGATTTGAAGTGAACATTACAATTATAGTACACAGTAGGTTTTTAATGTGTGATGTACACACAATGATTTTCTCCCCATCATGAGTAAGGTTTGACTGTGTTTGATTGAACTACATGTAGCAGTGAATTGTTGGGTTGCACCAAGTCATTGTGCTAAATATATCACAAGTGAAAATTTCACCCTGTCACATTGAAGACTAAAAAGTGAAGAAACAGACAATTGGATTCATGTTAACACATCAATGCATCTTTTACAAAGCAATCTACAACCATTAACTATAATTATGTCATTTTTCAAGCTGCTCCTACTCCACCACGAAAAGCAGAAAAAGAAGGAGACGAAACATCTTCAGGAGAGGAGAACTCAGATGACGAAGAGGCTCCTTCTGAGAATCCTGCCTCATCAGAGTATCAAGTACCTACCACGGTCAGTGGAAGAAAATAATGATATTTTCTTTATTTATCAGGCTTAATTTTTTAAGATGTTAAATTGCACCTTGAGATGAATATATTTTCCTGTTCTGATGCAACTCTCATTGAATTTTTGGTAAAAATTTGCCAAGGCAATTTTGAGCCTGAATTTCAAAATTAGTCTGACGTTTCAATAAGGAAGTGGTTGACTTAATTTTTTATCTTGATTCAGGTCTCTAATGACTCTTGACTTTAATTTGATCTGTTAATGGCAGGCAGTTTTAAAATAAGAAATTTTATGACTGAAAAATATCAGACTTATTTTTTCAAATGAAGTGTAGGAATTGGCATAATGTATTTGTGTCAATATTTATTTTGGAATCAGGGAAGAAAAAGGAAAAATATTAAGTCATGAAAATCAGTGAATGATTGTGGTTGTGTGGCAGAAACTCACACACTTAATCCTTCCTTCATACTGGAATTAAGTTTCAAGTCAAAATGTTATTTAACCCTTTCACTTCCAAGATCTAATTAGTAATTCGCCTTACTGTCTGCCTTACAATTCTTATGATGTTAGTTCAGAGAATTTGGTATTGGATCAACTAATGATCCCATGATTGATATTCTTCTCTATTCTCATCACCTGCCTGCTTGATATTGTATTGATATTGTAAGGAGAAATTCTGTCTTGGTCACTTGTGGGAGTGAAAGGGCTAAGTAACATAATTAGGTAGACTGACTGCAACAATTGATACTTGACACCATGTGCTTCTCATCATCAATCTTTGGTAAACCCTCAAATAAAATCTTGGACCTTACAGTAATTTGTATGTCATTAATTGTAACTCATGGCAACCCTTCTTGCATGACCAATCAGTAGAGTCAGTTTGGGTCAATTTTTAATAAAATTTTCCTTTTTTTTTTTTAGCCTACATTTTACCAAGGCAATCAGGTGCCTGCTAAGGGGGAGGCGGACAGTGGATATGCAGAACCCAGCTCAAATAAAGTATGATGCTGCACCAAAATGAAGGATTTGAGAGCTGAGATGTTTATCAATGAAAAGGAAGCATATTTCAATGTGGAAGAAGTTTTTTTAAAATATGGTTATTTACAGATATATATAATTACATCCATGAACCAAAGGAAAGCCAATCATTTCAAAGTTACATTACAAACTTTTATTTTAGTGAATTGGACAATGTGTCCTTTGTGGATGGGAAAAATCAGAGACAATTTTCAAGGCATCCCTTTTTCCTGCTGGTGCAGTACATGCTTACCCCTCTTAGTTTACTTTAAAGATTGGAATCACAGGACAATTGGCCCTCAACAAGGGATCTTCAGTACAAGAATTGCAGCAAAGCCTCTAGGCTTTTTTCCCATAACAGTGAAACATGCATTAAGCAGAAAAAAGCCATAGAGAACCCCAATGTTTCCTGCAAGAAATGATTCAAAACTACAGTTAGACAAAAAGTTCAAATAACCCTTTTCTCCCAAAATAGGATTTATGATCTGTCCTTTATGTATAGCATTCCTATACTTTCATTAATTACATGTAATAAGAGGGGATTATTTATCAATATAATTTTTAGGGCTGACCAATCAATTCTCAGTACCTGTTTTCTTGACATAATATGGAGATTGTGCGGAGAGGTTATGTGTTGATCATTCTTTGGAGTAAAAGGGGATAAGAAGAGATCCTGTATTTAGTCAATACTGGGCTATACTTTTCCCGAATGCTTTGTTCCAAGGGACTTGAATGAAAAAAAAAAAAACACTTCTATGAAGGCCACTTAAGCTCCGTTAACTCTAGATGTCTGCTTAGCCCGTTAACCCTCAGAGTGCCTTGCATCTAGTTTCTCCCTACAATATCTCTTCTGAAATCAAACACAAAGGTCATGAGAATAAAGGAAATGATCACCAACTAAAGAAGCTCTTGATTGTTAAACAAATTCTTCTTGCTGACACCTTAGGAATTGTATAGAGAACAGTATGGAGAATATGCATTCTGATGTCAGGGTGTAATGGGTTAAGACAGGATTCACTGTGGTCTGTATTTCTAGGGGTGATATGTAATTAAATAGAGCAAAGACCAAAGTTTTTTCTGCAGCCAATGAAGTTCAAAAGAATCTGTACAAAGACCTGAATTGTAACAATTCTAAGTTTTGTCACAATGAAGCTTTCTAATAGAGATGAGAATAGAACAAATACTGTTTTAAATGTTTGTGTCAAAAGTATCACAATTCAAATGATAAATTAATTTTTTTAGCTGAAACTCCAGAAGCAAATTCTCAAATCAATTTTTGTAATTATACACACTCAGTTAATGATAAGAAATCACCTAAATGACATTCCACAAATGCTATACTCACTACAATTAATTTTTTCATGTGCTTAAATATAAATGATAATAAATACAACGCATGGTTATCAAAGCAAGATAGGCAGTTTTGAAGTGATTATTGAAAGAGCAACCAACAGCAATCCCAACTTGGTCACTAGTGTTTTCCTGTACGTCAGGCTGGTTGCCTTTTTTTACTATGAGTTCTCATTGGTTAATGACAATGTTAAGCTTTGTTCTGATTGATAGTTTGATTACTTTCAATTGGTTTCCAATGTTTTCACACCTAATTAACCGTTTAACTCCCAAAAGTAATTAGCGTGAAACTTCTCCCTATAATATCCATACATTATTCAGCAAACAGTTAATGAGACTTAAAACTTTTCAGGTAGAAGTAAGTAAATGTAAATAAATGTGTAGCAGCTAGAGGGGAGAATTAACAATCAAAACTAGGGAATTAAATGCTTAAAAACTGCTTTGAAGGTACATCAAGGGCCAAGGTTTGGTTGTCCTGCATGTTACTGATCTTGTTTATCTTAAAAGTTGTCAAATGTTACATGGTAATGAATAACCTGTCGTGACTACAATTCCAATGTTTAAAACTAATTATGAATGTTGACTGAATTCTGATACAATGAATGTCAGCCAAGAACGGCGTTGTTGCCTGTTTGTATAGCAATTGTTTATTTTGAATCATCTCTGATACTAGTATTGTTGCAAATATTAACACTATTTTAATAGTTATATAGAATTCAGAAATTTTGATTACAAATTTACGTAGCTAGTTTTTCAAATAAACCGCATCTCGCTTGAGTATGAAAACAATTTTGTTTCTGTGTTATGTCTCTTAAAAATCTTTTGTTGGGTGGCCTGTATGTGTGCTTGTGTATATGTATGTTTATATATGTTATATATATATATATACACACACATATATATGTTGAGTACTAGTTATGGTCACTATAAACTCGAAACAGTCGGTAAGGTCTATCGCATTTCGTTTTCATTGTAATTTCGCTCGCTAAAGGTGTAATTTCTCTTCGTCGAAAACTAGCCTTATTGGCTAACTGGATGTTTACTCGGCTTGATTACTGAAACATTTGTGGATTTTCATTGGGATACCAGTAAATAAATGGTCGAGTCTTGGTTCTGCGAACTGCGTGATAAGGATTAATTAACGTGTTCTCAGCCAATGAGTTTCCTGAAATCTTTTGAATATGCATTGTTGGTGACAGAACAAGGTAGATTTACACTAATTGAGCAGTTTTCAACTGAGAATCGAAAGTCTTCTATTACTTAGGTTTTGCTTACACTGCTCTGTGATTGGTCCAGGAAACTCGCGCTACCATCTCAACCAATCAAAAGCAAAATTAAAACCAATCTAAATCAAGTCACTTGCGTTTTCCCGCGCTTCAAGCAGGTTCACTTTCAGTTCACACATGAGAAGATCATCAGTTGATACTCTCTTGGTTCACATTAGTTAATGACGATGTTTTAAAACCTTGTTCTGATTCGTTGTTGTGGCTACTGTGGTTTTTTTGTCGACGCTTAAGTGGAAATGCCACAATACGGGCATAATTGTTTTAAATTCTCGACAACCGTTTGCGAGGAAAGATGCATAACCTTTTTTCCGAGTCAACAAACGATCGCGATCAGTTACAGTGAATTTTAATTTTATTAGGTGGACAGTAACGTAACCAACTCAATTTTGACTCCTCACTTCTTTCTCCAGTCGTGTTTTTAGCGAACAATTAAGACAGTCAGACGAAAAATGAGGGAAACTTTTTATTCTGTCAAAATTACGGTTCACGTGCACTCGGCCTCAGGCTCTTGCAGAAACTTGACGGCTCACACCTAAAAAATACTTCGAAAATACGGGATGCATTTCTTCAAATGCATCATTTTGCTCCTTTTTTGGTTAAAGCAATTAAATTCTCTGGTACCGTGAGTTTTTTCAGTGATCACAGACGACGTCGGAATGTGATGAGAGCTTCAGTCATCTGCGATCCATTGCAGAACAAACGAACGGCAAAATGGAATCTATTTATAACGGAGTCACGGAAAGTTCGGCAACTTATCAAGCAGTAAATCATCTTAATCGACCTTTCTGGATAAAACATAGCCGGAAAACGCCTTAAGCCGGCGCCGTTCTGGATGAATTGACATCAACTCATCGAGACAAATTAAAGTTATTTTGGATACAAGATATATGCCTCAGCGTCTGAAATAGAAATGGGCCCTATAACATTGACTCATGAAGAAAACGATGGAGATTAAAGCGAGGCCGTCAACGCAGGAAAATGTTACTACGAAGCTGAATAGTGAAACTTATTGATGTGACACATTTTTGTTTTGGGTCGTAAAGCCAAAATCTAAAACATGGCAGGGGGGTGGGGAAGGGAGGAAGGAGGGAAGGGAGGGATGTGGAGGAAGGAAAGAGAGCAAGACATTTCGCTCGTACGCCATTTCACTCATCTCTTGAACAACAGTTTGGCATAGGCTACGAGTTATTGAAATATTGTTTTAATCAATTGTCATCAATTATAATAAAACGAACAATTTAACAAGAATGTACATCTTGTTAAAGATCTGAACGTCAGACAAGACGTTACATTTAAAACTGGTTTTCATTTGTCCGAAGCTCGTGGCAAAACGAGATTCAAATATCTCTTTTTGAACATTTCTTATCTCTTTTTTTTGAATAGTTCAAAAAGCTTTCAGCCAAGGCTGATTGATTAAGAATCGATCAACAGGGAATTTGTGATTATGATACATATCTTACCAACATTACCTTTTACCCAGGAGCAATCGTTTGGATGTCAGAAAAAGGAGTCCATTAAGGGCTCCTACAAAAACAAAACAAAGCAAAAGAGTCGAGTTTATCGTCAACCAAGTCTGTCAACGTTTTAGCATCTCTAATTTCCTGTCCGCTTTGATATCACCGGGAGCCCTATATTAGCTACACCATTAAGGCCTAAACAGAGCGTGACAGAATCACTTACAGCATCTTTAAAATGCGTGGTCGGTATTGCGGGTAGGGTTACAATATCGATAATTCGATCTATTAACAGCAAATGTGCTTGGCTTGAAATAACCCTAATCGACAAGTTCCTGATTTTCCGATCTGTCTGTGTATTTTTGTTCGCGGTTCTCATCAGACCCGGGAGTTATCTCCATCATTGCTAGATCAGCTTTTGCCCTGGTGTCTCGACATTTGTTGATGATTTTCCACACGACGAGACTAATTTTTCCAATAAAGAGTGTACACGACACGGCAAGAAGAGATTGCATAATGGCCGTATTTAGGCGGCTTACGCGGTTCAAGTTAAGGATTATGCTGGCGACAAAAATCCAAATTAAAACTGGATAAATTGTTATGGTATACAATAGATCTTCTCTAAAAATTGTATTTTCTAGGATAAACCACACCACGATTAACAGCATGAGAATTCCCAAAGCGATTGTGACCGAGAGTTCTCGCTCTATGCCGTGGAAATACGTCAGAATTAACGCCAGACTGCGAAGAGCGGCTACGGTGACCCATGTAGCATACACAGCAATCCCATTGTTTACCAGCATGTGAATGACCCAATAATCGAATCGACTGATGAAGTAGCGCTGTTTGTACAAACCAGCGAAGCTGCAAGCGAGAGACGCGTAGAGGAACACCACCATAGCGAAAACGAAGCCTGATGTTACCTTGATCATCTCCCAGCTAATGAACTGAGTCCAAGCCATGTTCGAAACGGTAGCCAGCGTAAAACAAACGAAGAAAAACGGACTCAAAGCATCGGGCATGCGTTTTCTGAAGATGTAAGACAGCGTGTATAGAATCCATGCAGCGGTCCACGCGTTTACGAGCTTCCAGATCTCAAAGGCATAAGGCGCAGGGCTGAACTCGATGGAGTATTTTCGTACCACCTGACTGACGGATTTGTTCCCAAAAAGGATCCCACTTTTGTTGTTTGCAGCGTAATTCATGACCAGAAGTAGTGTGTACATAATCATGTTGAAAATTATACATGCTGCCTTTAAAACCCGGTGGCAGTCTACCATTTTTGAAGCAGGTTTTCGAAATGTGTGCCGCTTTGCGTCTTGCTTTCTTCGAGTCTCTCAGATATTTACTTTGCGGGATATTCCTAAAAAACGGCAGTGACGGACGGATGGGGAGGGTACTCACTAACTGGGAGAGTCAGGGGAAGTATTACCACGCAGACACGACGTCGCGAAAAACAATAAAGGAAAAAAAAAACGGTGATTTTGTTTTGTTCTCCCTTTCTATGACCATTTATGACTTTTACCTGCCACTTGGAATTAAGAGATTAATTAGCTCTTACCCTTCCTTGACTAATAAAATCCGTCCCCACCCATACAACAGGGACTTCATCCAATCACAATCGAAAGGTGATATTTACGTCGCATAACTTTCTTGTTGTTATGGTGTTCTTGTTTTTGTTATGGCTCTTGTTTGAAGCATGACGTCAGTTACCTTTCATCACGTTATATCCAAGAGTAAAGCGACGACAGGGAGGTAAGCGGTCTTGTTTGAAGTTTATTTTCGACCGCAACCAATATTGTAATCTTCTCGAAGCAACTGAATGCTTTTTGCTTTGCGGTCAAGGCTCAACTCGACTGAAATATTTTTTCGTGTTTGTCCTTTGCTCTTTGTTTGTTTTTGTTTTTTCTTTATTTCTTAAAATTTTTTTTTCGTTGTCGCGAAGAAGGAAGACTAAAGATTTGGAGAATTCTGAATTCATCGTGGCATCTGCATCTGTGGGGCGTTGGGGTATAGGACGATGTTTACCAGGTTGTAATATTTGTCATGGTAAAGTTATTTTGCTCGGCTTGGTTGGAAAAGTTTTTTCTTGGCGTATTTCAAATACGAGATGAACTCGATGTACAGTTTTAGCATTCTATCACTAGTTCTAAGTCATTAAAATATTTGGCGACATCGTTCCCTCAAGAGAGAGGGTGGAAGAGAGAGGACTCGGGGAACGCGGTTGAATCTTTGGCTGACATCATAATTTCGTCGTCAATACGTCTTTTCATCGAATAATCATGATTCAACCACAAATAAAACCATTTCCGAAGGCCGAAATATGTGAAAATTGTATCATTTCCTTCATTTCCAAAGGGTAGATTCCCGACAGCAATTTCGTTGTCAAAAAAATATAGCGCTGTTATCGTGTTTCGTTCGTGCCCTCCCTCTCGAGTATCCCGCTTCCCACTTTTCGGCCTCTCGTATCCCCTCTGGAATGAATGGAAGAAACGAAAGGAGGAAGGGGAACCCGGGGGAACTAATGGAGAGAGAAGGAGCAGCGTAAACATACAAAGGAAATATAAAAGATTAAAGGCGCAATAAAGATATTTAGTCATTTGATCTTAGAAATGTATTAAGCAACAGAAATTGAGAAATATATTGCGTTTACACGAAGGTATTTTTGCAGAAGATGTTGCCTTTGAGATTCGTCATCTCGTGAGCTAAAGTCAATCACCCTACGTGTGCGTTCAGGCCAAGAACATGAAATTCCACAATAAACTTCCGAGGCCAGGTTTCACGCCCAATTGAGTCCCAATGGTCTCATTTTATCGGCCAGTTGCTGCTCTGAAAATAAAACTCAACGGCAGCAAAGATAGTTTGATTGGTGAAGGTAACCAGTCAAGAGTAGTATTCAGGCCAGCGGAGGTAAGCGCGAGGCTAGCGTGAAATGCGAGTCACGCTCCTCGTTTCCCGCGTGCCTTGCCTTTTGCTTTCCCTATTTAACAAATAGAGAAGCCCTAACTGTTCCATGTTCTGTTGTGAAACATTCAAGAAGTGGGGAGAAACACTCGACCACGTCTCGTGTACCTCACTACACTTCTTTCTTGCTCTAACCGAATCCTGCGTTCCTTTCAACAATACAGAACACAGTCAAGGCTTTTCTATTTGTTTTATTACAAAGAACCCTTTAAATTCCCCTCGCATTACTTTCAATTTTCAAAACAAACTCTATTTCCAAAGCAAATCACAGAGTATTTATGTGGTTACCAGTGGTACCAAGTAGCTATGCATTTCATTCAACTTATCCTCACAGTTGATCATGAAACATAAAATAGCATCTTCACAGCGCATAAGCGTAGGTTGAAGTTATCATATTTCAGGAGACAACTTTGTTGCCTGTCTATATGGAAGTGTTGGTCACTTTTTTGTGCTAAAACTCCCGCAAAACCTTTATTCGATCAAGCATTTTTCCACATCGCGGGTTCGAAGCGGGCAAATCGAGCCTAAACTGCTCGAACGGGTAGTCAATCAACCACAATATTCATTAAACCTTGCCCACTCGCGGGGTAAACCCTATGATATGGGAGTTTATGGATGTCAAAGCGGAGATCATGAGGTAAACAATCTGAGCAGATGCTTTTTTGTCACGTCCGCAAGAATCATTTTTGTTATCTCATCAGTGGGAATGAATTCCAGTGAAGGCGTTCGTAATTTATTCCCTATCGTAAAATATGATCGGACTTGAAGTGCAAATGCGCTTTCGATAACAAAAGTTCGGCTTAAATTCTGAAAGAGGTGAGAGCAATTATTTATATGTGTCACCTGTCTTCTAATTTGAGCTTTTAAGAGCTGTCACTTATGGTAATTTCCCTAAATATCTGATGCTCTCTGTCATTAATAACGTGAGAATAATATCATTCACATCGTCATGCTCAAATACTTGGTATTTCTCAAGTTGGTTTTAGTTTTTGTTCAGCACAAACTGATATTTGCAATTCAGCCCACCATAAAGAACAACCATGTTTTAGTCGGCCATGTTTTTCAAGCCTTTACTGCAACAGACTGGTTCAACTGTCTACAAACATGCCATGATGATCCAAGATGCATCTGGTACAACTACCAGAGATCTGCAGAAGCCAACGGTCTGTGTGAATTGAATGACTGTGGAGTTGAAGACTTTTGCGACAGAGAAGGGTTTATCTTTCACTCCCCAGGATTTGTGTTTCAGCAGATAAGGACGATTAAAGTAAGTGCTGTATTAAGTAAAACAAGGTTGTAATTCTGATTTAGTAGTCGACGTCATTTGTTGCAGTTCACAGCTCAAACTAGCTTTTATTTTAACCAGCAACTACAGTCACAGGTTTAATTTTATTTATTTTGAATTCAATTTTCTATGAGGCAGCTAAAGCCAGGGACGTTACTGTTTGTTAGTCAAAATAATTTCACATTCTACGAAAGCTTATGGGATCATGGGTATCTCAAACACGAAACCTATTTTCCATCTACTTCGGTTTTTTCTACCAGAAATAAAGACTTCCTCTTTTAATTCTTCATTTTAGGAGTGCAAACATGTTTGTCTTTCTGCTAATTTCCATGCACTTTTAATACGCTTCTTCTAAACAAAAATCCCCTTTATTTTCTCCAGGAAGCGTTTTAAATCTAAGACGTTTTATAGACACCCTTTCCTTCTTCAATCTATCCATTAATTTCATTATTTGCTGGCTTAAGTTTTATTTGATCAGTTAAACCAATGTTTATATTACTTAAAATTGCAGAGAAATACGTCCGCTCGGTGCTTTTGCTCTTGAGTTTTTCTGTTTGAAAGTTTGCCTAAATTGTTTATCACTGCTGTCGGAAGCGTTAGCTAATCGAATATATCGGCTTTTTCACATGCCTTGTCACAGTCATGTTAATTATCATTTGTTCAAAAATGTTCAAACGATATCCAGGTGTCAATTTGCCTTGCCTTTGCGTTAAGCTCTAAATATTCTTATCCAATTTTGTGTATAGAAAAACCAGAATTTATTTTCGTTTTCCAGCAGATAAAAACAATTATAAAGAAGGTAAGTAATATGATTGATAAAACAAAGTTAGTTCCATGTCAAGTAATAAAAGGCATTTAAGGAAGTTGTCACTTCTCCTATCAGTTTAGATTCATTATTTCTAACCTTACCATCTACTTCAATTTGATGAGAACATTTCCCTTGATCCCCGATTTTATTCCTTTATTCATGATTGAGAGATTTTTAAATTTATTCTACCATTTTGATATTATTAGAAGAAAGCAAACTTAGCGTTTTATAGGATGTTCAGCATAAACAAACACTACTTAACATATAAAGTGTTCGGATAAGACTTAATGTGAATGAGGTAACAAATCCGCAAATCAAGGACAGCTTTCAGAGATAACCTTTTAGATACTGGGAAATTTGATGGTTACCTTCCGTCCCATTCTTTCATTACATATAAGCAATGATTCAACTTTCCATAACTGAGGTGCTTGCATCTTTATTTGACTTGTGAAGCAGGCTTTTTGCCGATTTGTTGGCATACTTTTATGGGATTGATTTAGCAAACCGAGCTTACTCCTTTGCTTTCATCTTAATGTTAGCACTGCCTGTATAATCTGAATCTGTGATCTTCACAAAGTGAGAAAGTAACGTTATTTCGCTTTGAATTCACTTCGAACATCTGCTGTGGCAATTAAGATTATTCAGCAACAGTCAATTTTGTTCAAGGAGCTTCAATCTCACGAGAGAGGTTTTGAAACCGTCTAAAACGACAGATACTCAGATCAGAGTCACCTGCACTTGCAGAAAGAATATACTCAAGGCTCAACTCTTTTATCAACGATTTGCCGGACGATGCACTCGTACTCGATGATAAAATTACCACGCTCGAACCTCTTAGTAAAAAGTGGGGCATAACTGCTCAAGATATGGGGAAATATTACGACACATGATTGGAACCTTACTAAAAACTGACCGGCAATCACTGTTTTGTCTTTGTTCAAATTGCTTTGTCTCTAATTTGCTGAACAACCAAACCTCGATCGCAATGGTGGGAAGTGTAATTCAGAGAAATCAGCATAACTTCAGCATAATTTTCGAAGAATCTAAGTGCTGCCAGAAGCAAATCATGCTACTTTTATGAATGCAATCAACCCTACTGAGAGGTGTAACCGTTGCGATATTTTGAAAGGCATTTTCATAGAACATTTCCGTCTTCCGTAAATTATCAAAAAATTATGGATTTGTATTCTGAAATCTCTCTTGTCTGTTCATCATCACCATTATCACATTTATATAATTATGTAATTGCTATACGCCTTTTAGGTTAACGGGTGTTTATCTTCCCACGGTAAAAACAGTTGCATTTCGGATAGATCAGGTAAGCTCTTTAATTTCCTTCTAAAATTTCCGGGCAAATTATGAGAGCAAAATTTAAAGTTTCCCAGTAAAAATAATAATTCCATGACAATATTACCTTGGGTGACAATTTGTTTAGATAAAAAATAACGTAATGAATATGAATGCTTTTGTGATGAGTGTGTTTTTCTTTCAGTAATAGTTACTAAAATCTTCTCCAAAGACTTATAAAGAAATTGTTTATCGTTAACTTTATACAAACATGTGAATGTTAATAGTTGATGTTATATTTGTAGGCTGATAATTCTAGGGTATGCATGCCTGCAAATGTCATTACATACTTCGAACTGATTTTTCGGGAGAAAACATCGGAACTAATATTGTCCCTAATTGAGCGTTTGCAGGTGGAACTCATCTTTTTAGGATATCATCAATTTTTTTGGGGGGTTCCTTTAACAAATATATCCTCATTAAGAAAACATGATAACCCTTTATTTCAAATAGGCCCATCAGACCATCAGATCGTGTCTAAACTTAGGACCCGCCCGAATTCGATAAGCTGCCTTAAATTTAGCAAGTGTAATGTTTCTGACCCCTTGATATGATAGGCTGGTCCTAAGTCGGGAGTGTTCCAGTGCGTCAGTGATCTTTACCGCCGGTGTTGAGAAGATCGCAGGCGCACCAAAACATCAACGAAGAACACTGAGGATCTGCTCTCGAATATTTCATTGTTAACCGAAACTAGCCTATATTTCAGTTCCCAGGACTTCTCCAAAAAATGTCACGATGGTAAACAACACGTACAAGAGCATTTTTATCACATGGGATGCTGTGCCAACGAATCAGACAAATGACGAAATTTTCGGATATGAAGTAGAATATTCGATAATAGAAGGAGGTCAACCGGCATGGGAGAAAAGAAAAGTGTTTAGTGTTCCCGACGTACATTTCAACCTTACAGGATTAATTGTGAACAGAAGGTACGAAATCAAAGTGCGGGCCTACAACCAGTGTGGGAATGGTCCGTCAAGTGAGGTCCTCTGGGTAAAAACGGACGAGAGAAGTAAGTAACATCTTTTCATATATCATATGATCCGCACTGCCCCGCACGTGCAATGCCATAGATAACCATAGTGAAAGCTAGCGAGAGTAAGGCGGGACGTGTTGACGTGAGCCTGTTGGGAAAATAATCCATCCGGCCCCGCACCCACATAGCTCTTTTGCATTTTCCGAGAAAGAGGATTAAAATTGTGTACTTTTAAATAAAACAAATGATAAAGTGAGTTGCACTTCTCGGTGCATTCTGATTTCCTCGTTCTGCCTCGAAGATAAAAAATTGTTATGAACTACATTTGAAGTGTTCTGGCTACACGTTTGTGAATTTTTTATGTTTTTTAGAATATCTTGTAGTCTTTGCGCAAGTCTTGTGAGCCTTGTTTTGTCCTGCGATACAAGTGCACACATATAGTTCCGCTTTTAAGTGATTTGTCCTTGACTGCTATAATGGGGCTTAATGTCGGACAGTAATCGCCACCACTAGTCGTGTTTGAGTTCGTCTACCGACCTTACTTTAAGTCCTCAACTTGAGCTTTTGGTTAGGTTTTAGTTCTCGAAGATCGATTGTTTTCTTGGCTTGATGTATCGAGTACTTTGTTGTTAATTTCGAAAGTCTCGTGAAATTGTTCGAGATAGTCCGAGAGATGTTTAATCCCGCGAGTTCCCATAATCCCGCTTGCCTACCGACAGGATAGTAAAGAGCGTTTACTTAAGGCTAAATTAGGTATTGAGAAAAAAGCGGCGGTCGACCCGCATAAAAGTTCTTGATCAGACTCCTGATGCCTCCCGTTTGCGCGCTGTATTCGAGCCAGTTTACCACAACAGTCCAACAAAATGTACAAGTTAACTCTAGATTATTTGCTAGATTTCCAGTGGGCGCCCTTCTTCTGTGTGCAAGTTCCAGCACTAAATGGTCATATAACAAAATGCTTATTGACTGAGTTTTTTTGGACCAGACAAGGAAAATATGTGGCTCGAGTAATGCCGTACGGACAGAGTGCACCTCGAGCCAAATATTTTCCTTCTCAGCCCTTCCGCTCACTCATTAAGTACATAAAATGTGGTTGGCTTCAGGGCCTAAGGTGGCGCCTCCAAATATTATCGCAGTGAGAGTGAATTCGTCCTGTGTAATGGTTTC